CGCCGCCGCCGCCGCCGCCGCCGCCGCCGCCACCACCACCACTCAGCACCAAGGATGCTCTCGAGCCTCCTGTCCTCCTGCTTCGGTCTCCCAAACACTAGGATTGCAGGTGTGTAGGTGTGTACCCCCCCCCCCAGTTTATGTACTGCAAGGATGGACACCAGGGATTCGTACATGCTAGGTGAGCACCCCAGCAACTGAGCTACATCCCCAGCCCTTAGTTACTTAACGATCCATCCATACTTTGCCACAGCCACAGTCACAGCAAGAGACAGACACTTTTATTTTGGAAACAGAGTATTACTCTGTAGCCCTGGCCGGCTTAGACTTCTGTAGGTAGACCAGCCTGATCTTGAACTCACAGAGGTCTGCCTGCCTCTGCTTCTGAGTGCTGGGATTAAAGGCACAATCTACCATGTCTCTTTTAAAAAAAGATTATTTAAAAAAAAAATGTATCTGTGTGCATTTGTGTCCGAGTGTATATGCAGAGGAAGCAGGGCGTCTCCCTGAACCTGGGACTCAGGGTTTCTCAGCTAGGCTGGAAGCCGAGGAGTCCCAGCAATCCTCCTGTCTCTGACCCCTTGGGGCTGGGGTTGCAGGCATGAGTGTGACACTCAGCCTGTTGCGTAGGTGCTGGGATCTGACCTCTGGTCCTCGCGCCTGAGTAATAGGAACTCTTAGAACTCTTAACCGCTGAGTTATCTGTCCAGGCCCTCCCCCACCCCAAGCCCTGATCCTCCTGCCTCAGTTTCGGGGTTAGAGCAGGTCATGGACTATGATGATCTCAGAGAGATTCTGACTTACTTCTGTTTTCTTTTCTAGGCTCATTTAGTTTCTTTCTTTTTTTTTTTTTTTTTTTCCCTCAAGACAGGTTTTCTCTGTGTAGCTTTGGAGCCTATCCTGGAACTTGCTTTATAGACCAGGCTGGCCTCGAACTTACAGAATCTGCCTGGCTCTGTCTCCAGAGTGCTAGGATTAAAGGCATGCACCACCACAGCCCGACTTTCTTTTAAATTCTTCTAAATCCAGGAGAAAGCTCACCAATTTCACACCCCTGGGGTGGGGTGAGGAAGGAGGAGGACTCTGGGGCGAGGGAGGGCAGGCGTATGAAGGGTCTGCTGACCACCCGGTGGAGGGTGTGGCTGACAGGTGCTCGGGAGGGTGTGACTGGCACGTGAAGAGGTGCTGGCCTCCCAGGGCAGAGTCCTGGTGCTCAGGCAGGCAGCAGCTGCTGCTGTGAGTCAGGGTGGCGGCTGTGGGGTGAGACCGGGGCAACTGCAGGAAGATAATGGCAGGAGAGGCAGGAAGGCCGGGCTCGATACTGCTGCCGGGCAAAGAGCAAATACCAATAATAAAGAGGAATGAACTGAACAGGTGACTCCACCTGTGGTCCCAAGCTTCGGGAGCTGAGGCAGAAGGACCACAGTTTGGGGTCAGCCTAGTCTCATCCTAGTCTCCACAGTGAAGCCCTGTCTTACACACACACACACACACACACACACACACACACACACACACACACACACACATGTAGCTACACACACACACACACACACGAAAACAGCAATAAAAAGAACTTCCATGCTGGGTGGTGATGGCGCACGACTTTAATCCCAGCACTCGGGAGGCAGAGGCAGGCGGATCTCTGTGAGTTCGAGGCCAGCCTGGTCTACAGAGAGAGTTCCAGGAAAGGCGCAAAGCTACACAGAAAAACCATGTCTTGAAAAAAACAAAAAAGCAAAAAACAAAAAACTTCCATATGTTAGCATCCTGTAATTTCTAACGTCCTTTTAAACCTACTATTTATTTGATATACCATCTGGGCATCAAGATCAAACTCAAGGCTTTGTGTGTGTTAGGTAAGGGCTCTACCACTGAGCCACACCCCAGCCCTTCACTGGGGGATTCTAGGCAGGGGCTCTACCACTGAGCCACACCCCAGCCCCTCACTGGGGGATTCTAGGCAGGGGCTCTACCACTGAGCCACACCCCAGCCCCTCACTGGGGGATTCTAGACAGGGGCTCCACAACTGAGCCACACCCCAGCCCCTCACTGGGGGATTCTAGACAGGGGCTCCACCACTGAGCCACACCCCAGCCCCTCACTGGGGATTCTAGGCAGGTGCTCTACCACTGAGCCACACCCCAGCCCCTCACTGGGGGATTCTAGGCGGGTGCTCTACCACTGAGCCACATTCCAGATCTGTTATTTTGTCTGATATTCATATAGAGAGCCAGAGGCTCAGGGATTTTAAAGACCTGCACCAGCCTGTACAGCTGCACACAGGGAGCCGGAGCCTGCCTTAGCTAGTTCTGGTGGCTGAGCATCATTGGGCTGGGCAGGCGGAGAACGGCTCTAGTCAACACACTACAACCATTGAGACTCTGGAGATTTCCACACACTCAGGGATTAGCAGAATAAATGCTGCTCCAGGACTGGAGAAGGGCCCTGGCCACCATTAGATGCTGAACCATGTGGACTGGCCCTGAGAGGGTGGGGCTAACGTGACTCTCATCCAGCTGTGTCCCAGCTGTGTCCCAGAGCTGCACTACACAGCCCAACTGACCTCAAACTCCCACCAAGACCCCGCCTCTGCCTTCCAAGGTGCTGGGTTCGTAAGTGTGAAGCCCCACACCCAGCTTGGGTCTATTGTCTTCATCTGCAGCCTCTCCTCCTGGAACAGGCTCTCCCAGGAGGAAGGAACTGGCTAGTCCTCTAGGCTCCGTGAAGCAAAGGGGAAATACCACTGTCGTCCACAAACCTGCTCCGGAGCCACCCTGCGGCATGCAGGTCACCCAGAAAGCCATCAGATGGCAAAGGGGGAGAGCCTCATAGAGGTCCTAAGGCAACTCCTCGGGAGATGGAGGTCACAAGCCACATAAGGATACAGACAGGAGGGCCTCCATGCTTCCACGATCACCTCAGGACCCTCTCTGGTTTCCAATCCAAAGTGGGCTCATAGCGTAGAGTGAGGACCACACCAGGTCCTTATAGATCTCAAAGCTGAGCGAGAAGGGTTCAACTGCTTTCCAGGCCTGGCCAGGGGGCACAGACACCAGTGGGTCCTGTTCTTACCATGGCTCCAAGAACACATCTGAAGCTGATGATGCAGATCTTGTTTCCATTGTAGAGGTGTCTGTCCTGTGTTCCAGAAGCTTCCTGAACCATCAAGAATGATAGAACATCGGGAACTCTAAAAGAAATAGGATTTAAAGGGAGGACATATGGCCCATGTTCCCCTCCCCCCATTCCCTTCCTCTCTCCTCTCTCCCCACCTCTCTTTCATGATTTAGCTAGGTAAGTCCTTGAATTACAGGCACAGGACACTGAAGGTTTTTTGTTGGTCTTATATAGCCCAGGCTGGCCTAGAACTGACTACAGAGCAGAGGCTAACCTTGAACTCCTGATCCTCTCTCTTGCCTCCATTTTCCAAGTGTTGGGATTACAGGCAGGCACCATCCCACCTAGTGTATGTGGTGCTGTGGATGGACCCCAGAGCTTGGTGTATGCTAGGCGAACACTGCACCACAGCCCCAGCCCTACTTCCTCCTTTTTAAGAAAATTGTTAGATCCCAAACATAGACCAGGCTGGCCTCGAACTCTCAGAGATCCGCCTGCCTCTGCCTCCCGAATGCTGGGATTAAAGGCGTGTGCCATCACCGCCCAGCTTGTTTTTAGTTCTTTTTGATAGGGTCCCCCCCCCCCCCGACAGGGTTTCTCTGTGTAGCTTTGCACCTTTCCTGGGACTCACTTGGTGGCCCAGGCTGGCCTCGAACTCACAGAGATCCGCCTGGCTCTGCCTCCCGAGTGCTGGGATTAAAGGCGTGCGCCACCACCGCCCGGCTTGATAGGGTCTTTACACAGCCTTTCACTATGATGGTCAGGCTGGTCTTGAACTTGTGGCAACTTCCCACCTCTGCTTCTGGAATCATGGGTGTGTACCACTGCGTGGTCTCCCTACCTCTTCCCACCCTTTATTAACAATTTCCTTTGTATTATTTTTATTTATGTGCATGTGTACATGTTTGTGTGAGTGTATGTGTGTGGTACCCATGGAGTCCAGAAGAGGGCATCAGAGCCCCTGGATATGGAGTTACAGGCGGTTGTGAGCCACCCAATATGGATGCTGGGATCCGAACTCTGATTTTCTCAAGAGCAGCACGCACACTCCTAACTGCTGAGGCATTTCCCTGCCCCTAGATTGTTTTTGAACAGCTTTCTGGCTAGAAAAGCAATGTTTATTTACTACAAATACCTACTACTAAATAATAATAAAAACTTACAGCCTTATAAAATGTCCAAGACAGGGCTCCTGTACCTTCACTAGAACACTTGCTTAGTGTGTGGAAGTCCCTGGATTCACCCACACTGGAAAAAAAAAAGTATAAAGGAAATGCCCTTCATAATCTTATCTCTCAGAGATAATCTAAATTACAATTATTCAAATTTTAATATGGTTTGAAAATCTAGAAAGCGTTAAAGGAGAAGTAATCTGCATATATGTAAAGGCAGTACATTTGGGCCGGGGTGGGGATGGGGGTGTTGGGATGGTGCCCACAAACGGCTGAGTTGGAACTCCAGAACCCATGCTCAAATGCTGGCTCTCACGTTTATATATGTACCGGCGCACGTGGAGGTCAGAGGTCAACCCTGGGTGTCCTTCCTGTCACTGTCCTTGGTTTTGAGACCTGTTCCCTCGATAGCCTAAGGATCCCTGACGTGGCCGGGGTGGCTGGCCAGGCGGGCTCTCGAGATCTGCCTGTGGTTGCTTCCCGGTGCGGCATTGGGACTACAAGTGTGCATGGCTTTGTGGTGTGGGTCCTGGGGGGCTGAAATCAGGACGTCAGGCTTGGTTTCCCCACCAGGCCCTCACTGCTCCCACTCTGTAGTCCTGCCTGGTCTGGATCTTGCTATGTAGATCAGGCTAGCCTTAAATTAGCCTTGATCCTCCTTGATCAGGAATGTGCAGCCAGCCTGGCACTTTTTTTTTTGTTTTGGTTTGTTTGCCTGTGATCCCAGGAAGCTGAGACAGGAAGATCGCCCCAAGTTCCAATCCAGCCTAGGGTCACATACACAGACGGTATCTCAAACAAACAACAACAAACCCCTGAAAAAACAGGAGAGGTGGTGAGAAAAGATAGCTCACCGGATAAATGTGGTCCCTGCAAAGCTTGGCCTATGAGTTCAAGCCCCAAGACTCCCATGGCCAAAGGAAAGAATCAGTTCCTGAACCCAATGAGTTTTATCTGACCACTACATGCTCTCCCCACAAATACATAGACACTTAAAAAAGAAGAAAAAGCAACCTAAAAACCTCGTCCTTTATCGGAGTGTTGCCGTTGTTTGCTTTTAGAAGGAAACAGCTCTCGAAGCACTGCAGATGTGTGGTCCGTCAGCCCCCAGCTGGACTGCCGACTTGGGGTACATTATTGACTCTGACCCCAGCTCTCTCTTCTGTAACAGAGGACGACTGTGGCTCGGGCAGCACCCATCGTTATTTATTGTGTGTGTGGTATATGCTCACGTCGGTGTGCAAGCTCGTGTGCACCTGCACACTCACAGTCGTATTCCCTAAGCTAGCTAGGCTGGCAGCCCGCAAGCCCCAGCGATCCTCGGGCCTCGGATCCCACAGCGCTGGCGTAGCGGGTGGGTGTGTCCACGCCCAGGTATTTTTTGACGTTACTGTTTTGTTTCTACGTGGGTGCTGGGGATTCGAACTCAGGTCCTCGTGGTTGCACAACAAGCGTTCTTATCCCCTTATCCTCATCTCCCTAGCCAAAGGGCCGCATCTAAATGCTCCACTCTGGCCCTTTCTATGGGTTCGCTCTGATCACCAGGACTCATTTTGCAATTCCGGACAAAACGAAGGAACCTGACCGGTGAACCCGAGGCGCATCTCCGGGGGTTTCAAGACCGGAGAGGTGGCGAGCACGACACCTGCGCATCCAACCCCGGTCTGGGCCTGATATCCCGGCCGAAAATCCTCACCGTGTAAGGGCGATCCGAGCCGCAGACACCTGCGGAGCCGCGGTACCCGCCGCGGACCGCAGCTAACGGCAGCTGCTCGTGCCTAAAACTACACTTCCCAGAGCTCTCCGCGGCAAGCCGGTTACGGGGCCGGGCTCGCGACAGGAACCTCATTGGCTTCGCAGCCGTTGGCGGCCCGCAAGGTGGTCTTAGGCAGACCTGTCACTCACCCTCACGGCTGCCATCCGTCTGTCCACGCGCTCGCCGCCACTAGACCGGAGGAGACGGGGGAAGACAAGCTGCAGCCTGTAAGGGAACAAAAACTACATCTCCCAGAATGCTCCGGCACGCACGGCTTCCTGCTTCCAGGAGCCGCACCGGTGATCGGCCTCCGGAAACCGGCGAGTGAAGGATCAGAATCCAGACGAGAGGAAGGACAGAATACGATATTTGATTTAAGCAATGCTGACGAGTACAGCGCTTCTTTTTCTCCCCACGGATGCTCAGGGCCAGAGCAACGGGCGAACAGCCCTCTGGGAAGGGCAAGCGGAAACTGCCTGGGAAACTATGGGAAATGTAGTCCATTGATCACTAGCCAACCATTTAAAGGGTTAAAATTCTTCCTCTTGCATCTTGACTATTTAAACACAGAATTTGCCTCATAAGTATTTAGAGTAATTAGTACTCACAAGTCCTTTTTCAATACCAACCCTCGGAGCTGCATTCAGACACTGCATTTCCTAATTGGAGCTTGTACCTGGCTAGCCTGTCTTCAGCCATCTTCTTGGTTGTACACAAAAGTAGCCCAAAGTAACCCCTGGCTAATAAAATTGATAGACGCACTTCATAGCTTATACGGTAAACAAACTGTAGGAATAAAGCTTAAGAACTGCCAATGGCTTATTTGTTCTGAGTTCATCTTCAATCTAGATGTCCACTCGAGGACAGGCACAAGAATGCAAGGCTTTGGTATGCGAATCTTCCCCCGCTACACACCGAGAGACAATAATTAAGGACAGTGGAATCTCAAGAGACAATGCGAACCACCTGACCAGAGGGGCAAGACTAAAGTTGGGATGACTGATGGCCTTATAATCTGCAGGCTAGTCCACGGAATCAGACGCCCTCTTCTGGCGTGTGTGTGTGTGTGTGTGTGTGTGTGTGTGTGTGTGTGTGTGTGTGTGCCTGCAGTCCAAAGGTCCATGCCACATGTCTTCCTCAATCACTCTCCTGTCTTAGTTTTTGAGGTAGGGTCTCTCACTGAATCTTCAGCTTACTGGTTTGCTAAATTGGCTGGCCAGCAAGCTACTGAGATCCTCCTGGCTCTGCCCTCAAGCACTTTAGCACTAAGCCATCTCTCCAGTACCTCCATCATATATATATATATATTATCATAATATATATAATCAATTTGGCTAACTGGCTGTCAGCTGGTGCTGGGGATCTGTCCATCTCTGAAATTGCAGGAAATCCCCATCATGCCGGGTTGTACATGAAGGCTATGGCTCTGAACTCAGGTCCTCATGTTCTCACAGCAGATGCTGTATTGACCCAGCCATCTCCCCAGCTTCCAAAGAGATATACTCTTTGTTTTTGTTTTTCAAGACAGGCTTTCTCTGTGTAACAATGCTGGCTGTCCTGGAACTCTCTTTGCTGGCCTTGAACTCACAGAGCTCTGCCTGCCTCTGCCTCCCAAATGCTGAGATTAAAGGCATGTGCCACCAGTCTGGCTGGGATATATTCTTGATGTGTAGTTGAAGTAGTTGAAATAGGTTTCTTTCTTTAACTTTATGTGCATTGGTGTGAAGGTATCAAATATCCTGGAACTGGAGTTGCAGACAGTTGTGGGTGCTGGGAATTGAACTTGGGTCCTGTGGAAGAGTAACCAGTACTCTTAACCGCTAAGCCATCTCTCCAGCCCCCTGGAACAGGCTTCTCCGAGTAGAAACTTAGCACAAAACTCTGGTAAGACTACAGCTGTAGAAGACGAGGCTCATTTTGAGTCCCACAGGTTTGAGTATTTAGAATCTCCAAATAGATCTTAACTGGAGTAAGTCGGCACCAAGCCTTTAGAAACAGGGGATGTGTTTTCAAAGTTTGTAGAAAGCACAGGGTAGAGGCCTGGAGCTTGGTAGGCAGAGGACTCCCCTAACACGAAGCCCTGGGTTCCAACTGCAACATCACATAAACTGGGCATGGTAGTGCATGCCTATAATCTTAGTGTCTGGGAAACGGAGGTGGAACAATCAGGAATTTAGGTTATCCTTTGCTACATAGGGGGTTTGAGATCAGGTTGGGCTACACAGGACCTCCCCCCACCCCCAATCCAAAAGCCTGGGTTGGAGTGAATGGAGAGAGCGCAGAAGGGATAATGGATGTTTCTCACTTCAGGGCAGCAGCAGGTTTTTCTTCTGCAGCAGGAACAGTTGGCTCACACACTGCTGTTGCTGTAACTTCCACAGGAAAGATGGCTCCCATCAGAACACGGAGAACCATTCACTGCTAAAGCAGAAGTCAGAACTACAGTCTCTTCTTCATATTAAAAGCAAGAATGTATTTCCTCATTTAAGTGTGTGTATGTGTGTGTGCGCACGCTTTACATCTGAAGCATGTCAATAGCCTCACACCGGGGGATTCTAGGCAAGCACTCTACACTGAGCTACATCTTCAGCCTTCTTTTTATTTTGAGGCAGTATCTCACTAAGTTGTCCATGGTGGCTTTGAATTTTCTCTGTAGACCCTGTTAGAATTCTGCCCTCACTCCAGCTGCTTGACCGCACATGTGCAGTTCAGGAGCTAAGCAAAGGGTCTTGCGTCTTACCTCATCAGTGTGCGCAGGTGACTACATGTGCACAGCATGGTCATGCAATCGGCTCATGCCAGGCATAGCTCTGTAAGCCCACCTGCTCCTTAAATAGCCAGCCAGACCCCCCTCCCTTCTCTGTTCTCTCTTGCCCCTATTCTCTCTCTCTCTCTCTCTCTCTCTCTCTCTCTCTCTCTCTCTCTCTCTCTCTCCACATGTGTCTCCCCCAGGACTGGTTCTTTTTGTCCTCCCCCTCTCCTCCTAATAAAGCTCTGATACTGGGTTTTGCCATGGCTCGTGGCTCATGACCTCTCCGCATGGTAACCACCTTTAGTAACTAGCACCACTTATTCTCTCTCTCTTTCTCTCTCTCTCTTTTTTTTTTTTTTTTG